AACCCCTGACCACTATTCTGGTGGGTGTTCAACTGGAGGTAGTCTCTCATTGGCTTGGCTTAGCTTATCCAGGTTTGGACCCTCTGCCCTACGAATGGGCTGGGGCAAGGGCCATTGCAGTTTGAGGAGGAGGGAGTATTCACCTGCTTGCCATTGGAGTAGAGTTCCCATCCTGTGGATGGGGGCTGAGTGGAGAAAGGGAGCTCCAAACTCTTAGCTGAACACACTCACCAGGAGGGAGCCCTATGTTCCTGGCTGCACCCAGCTGCAATGAAGTATCCCTAAAGCTGAGGAAGAGAGGAAGCAGGTCTTAGTTCAAATGCTGCAGACTCTTGTAGTTTTCTGTTTTGTTGGCCACACCAGAACCACATAATTAGAGGGTTGGTGCTTCTCCTCCCCCCCCCCCTCCACCAGAGAAGAAGGGAGAGGGAGAGAGAAATAGAAACATCAATGATGAGAGAGAATCATTAATCAGCTGCCTCCTGCACACCCCACACTGTGGATTGAACCCGCAACCCGGGCATGTGCCCTGACTGGGAATTGAACTGTGACTTCCTGGTTTATAGTTTGACGCTCAACCACTGAGCTACACAGGCTAGGCAGATTTTCTTGAGTAAATGTTTTCTCCTAACAAAATTTACCATCTTAAACCATTTTTAAGTATACAGTTCAGTAGTATTAAGCATATTCACCTTATTGGGCAGCCAATCTCCAGAATTTGTCATCTTGCAAAATTGAAACTATACACATTAAACACTAACTTACCCCCACCCTGCCAATACCACTTATCTTCTATCTATGAATTTAACTATTCTAGATACCTCACATAAGTGAAATCATACAATTTTTTGTGATTGGTTTATTTCATTTAGCAAGGTTCATAACAAATCAGAATTTTCTTTTTAAGGCTGAAGACTAGTAATAACTGTATATATATACCACATTTTGTTTACCCATTCATCTGTACACCTAAGTTACTCTTTGGCTATTGTGAATAGTGCTGCTATAAACAAGGGTATACAAATAACTTTTAAAAGATCCTACTTTTAGTTCTTTTGATGTATACCCAGAAGTGGAATTGTGAGATCATATAGTAATGCTATTTTTTAATTTTTTGAGGAACTGCCTTACCATTTTTCACATCAGCTACACCATTTTATACTCCCAGCAGCAGTGCGAAAGGATTCCAATTTCTCTACATTCTTGCCAAACCTTTTTTTTAATAATAGTCATCTCATGGGGTATAAAATGGTATCTCGTGGTTTTGATTTACATTCTCCTAAGGATTAATGATTTTGAGAATCTTTTCCTATGTTTATTGGCCATTTATATATCTTTAGAAATGTCTATTTAAAGCTTTTTAAAATCTCTGTTTCAGCTCAGATTTCTTTTATCCAAGATATTGGAAGGCTTCCTCTGAATCGACACTTTGGAAGGTAAGCTGATGATTTTAATTTTCAAAGAACTGCTACGGAAATGTCCACTGAATATGTTATCTGTTTTTCCAGTATACAATCAGTAAATGTTATCTGTAAAATCCAAGAAATACATTTTGGGCCCAGTGATTAAAGACCGTGATTGCATTGTAGGCCCATCATTTTATTACATATAAAAATGTATTTTCACCAGCTTACAGTGGAATATCAGACTAAATAGAATCATGGAATCACAAAGGCAGAGAATCTTTAAAGTCATCTAGTTGAACAAATTTTGCGTATCTGGAAACACCTTTTCAGCTTTCCTATCAAGAGATTTTCTTGCCTATATTTGAAGCCTGCAATGACCAAGCACTATCTTTTACTTACTTATCATAGAAAATCCAAACAATTGAGAAAATACAGATACTATAGAGTGATAAGCCTATATCTGTACCATTCATTTTATTGCAAAATTGTTTCTGCACTAATGTCAGTGATTAACACAATATTTATAGTTCATTTCTTCTTAGCTTATTTGTAAGGTCAGATTATACACTCAGGCATTTATTTATTCATTTTAATCCTCACCAGAGGATATGATTTATTGATTTTAGAGAGACAGGAATGGAGAGGGAGAGGGGTAGAGAGAGAGAGAGAGAGACAGAGACAGAGACAGAGAGAGAGAGAATCAATTAGTTGCCTCCCACATGCACCCTGACCGGGGCAGGGAACAAACCCCCAACCCAGGCAAATGCCCTTGACTAGGAATCGAACCCCAGACCCTTCAGTGCATGGGCTGATACTCTTAAGTATTTACTTAAATGAAAGGACAACCTATGACACAAAAACCTGTATGTGAATGTTTATAGTAGCTTTATTTTTACTCACCAAAAACTGGAAACTGAATGTCCTTCAACTTAGAATGGATAAACATGCCCTTATACAGTGTATTAGCATGTTCTTTTCTCCTAACTCTTACCACCGCTGGGTCTTATTATTTTAAAAGGTCTTTGCCAGTTTAAAAGATGAGAAGAGTAGTTTGTTTTTTAAGGGAGGGACAGAAAAAGAGAGATTGATTTGTTGTTCCACTTACTTATGCATTCATTGGCTGCCTCTTGTATGTGCTCTGACCAGGGATCAAAGCTGAAACATTGGCGTATTGGGATGACGCTCTAACCGAGCTACGGGGTCAGGACTAACAACTTAATATTTTCATTTCCATTTTTAAAATTATAAATCAGGTTGAACACTTTAGTTACCATTGGTACTTTTTTTCTGTAAGTTGTTCCATGTTTTATGCCCATTTTCTCTTCTATTTATCTTTTATTAGTTTGTAATAACTCTTTAGTAAAGAGATTATTCAACTCGTTTGTATCCTAAGTTGTAATGGTTTATTCACAATTTCATTTACCTTGTACTTTTGTTTATATTGTTAAATAAACTAAAGGGCCTGACAAAATAGTGAATAGAATGAAGGTAAATGAAAGCATCGGGAGATGGTTTCATAATCTTCATACTCATGTGTAATTTAAAGGAATCTCCTTTGGTTATTATTAATGCCTGCATCATCAATCTGGTAGATTAAAAATGGAAGCCCTGACCGACAGGGAGCAAGGACTGATGGACCCAGGAAGTGGAGATGAAGCCCAGTTTATCGGAGGACAAGCTTCAGAGGAAGCTGTGGAAGAATCTACTCAAACCCGGGAACCTGAAACCTGCTCTCTGCCTTTGAGTCAGAATAGTGGGAATGAACTGCCTGCCAGCCAGCCTCAGCCCTTTTCAGCCCAGGGAGACATGGAAGAAGAAGAAGAAGAAGACATGAGAATAGAAGACTATGAGAGCGATGGAACATAGAAACCAGCCCACCAGTCACATTGCTACATGACAGATTCACATTAGTTTTAGTCAGTGGTCCTTGAACAGAGATATATTTTTCAAGTGAATTACAGCGTAAGTCTTCACTCTTGTAGTATTTCAGCACAAGAAACTGACTCTTCTCTCGAAGTAAATAGAAAAGCCTGCAAATATATCTTTTTTCTCTAGTATTTATTTAATCTTGTGAGTGGAATTGGGAGAAGAGGCCAGTGTGTATGAAGTGTGTTTGAACATTATGCCAAGTATCTCAAAATGTGAAGGAATAATTCAGAATACAAAAAGTTTATGGGGTTGTAAATATGAATTATAAAACAGCTTAGTATGCAGTTATGAGTGTAAATAAACTTTGTGCCTTAATTACAGTTTATGGTCTCTTCTTGGATACCTTTTTAATATGTTGTACAATGGAATATTTTGGATACTTTTTGTAAAGTATTACATAATTTATATCAAAATTAAAGTGTTTAATGTCTTTGTTTCTCCTGTCTTAATATCTCCTAACGTGTACTGTCTGCGGTGTGTCATTGGGCATAGGATATGAAACTCCTTCATCCGGAGTCGAACTTTTTAAAAAAAAAGGGAAGACGGGCCGCCTTGCGCTGAGAACTCTCCGGAGGGTTAGTCACCCTTCACTACCAGCTGGGTCCTTACCTTTGCTTTGAGGTGCGGGCGCGGGGGTTGGGGGACGGGCACCGACCGGCTAGGGCTCCTAGCGGGGCCCCAACAAAGCCGGGCGGGGCAAGGCTTGGCTCGGCCCCGCCCCGAGAGC